AGATGACCCCACAAACCCTTGGACAAATGTCCAGTTGCCTTTCAAACTAATCCAATCCTAGTCATAGTAGCAATAACTCTCATTTATACAGCTCTTTATGGGTGTACAGAACTTCACAGCAGTCTGCTGAGGTAGGTAGTATGAATATTGCCCACAATTTACAGATATTATGCTTTTAATGACCCTAGGCTTCTCCTGAAAACAAAGGCTCATTGTTTTTTTAAACACCAATATTACTCCTCTGCTGCTATAGGTCAATGAAGCATGAAATACCACTTTTTTTTTTAAATTAAAATTTCAGGTCACCTCAAAGTCAATGGAGGGACACATGGTGGGCCTGAGTAGGCTATATCCTGTTACCAGTGACAAATTGCAAATGGGGAACTGCAAGGGTTCAAGATCACTGACTCTGAACTCAGAGAACTTGGCTCAAATCCTGCTTTTATCACTACCTGGCTGACCATGGAGCAAGTCACTGATCCTCTCTGGGTCTCAGTTTCCTTAGTTGCAAAATTAGAGGGTAGGACTAGATGGTCTCAAAAGTCTTTCCCACTCTAAATGTTCATGGTGCAAGTAAGTTATAGTTTATTGCCCATAAAATTGCATATGACAAAGAGCCTGATATGTGAAAAAAGTGCCAGATTGGGAGGCCAAAGGCATGAGTGAAGATACTAACTCTGACTTTTAATAGCTATGTGATCTTGGGCAAGTCACTTAACCACTTTGGCTTTTTCATTTGTAACACTAGAAGGTCTGGATCACTTGACCTCTAAGATTCCTCCCAGTTCTATACCTATGATAAGTTGCAGATGAAAATTGCTTTGCAAATCCTAAAGTGCTACAAGAATACTAGCTGTTGTTATTGTTAATAGCTACTATTATGATACCAAATGGTGCAAATAAGATTATGAATGATACGTATGACAAAAAAAGGTAGACTGGTCTTTGGTGATAATGGTGGATGATGACCAATGGATAGCCAATGTACTCATTAGTATTTGTGCTTAGGCAGCTCAGGGGTGCATTAGTTAGAGTGTTAGACTAGGAGTCAGGAAGACCCAACTTCAAATCTGCCTTTGTACATGATATTCACATAAGCAAAGCTGGAGGAAAGTGATAGAGATGAGACTCTTATCTGGTTTTCCTGATTCATAGTATTTAGACATTTTCATTAAGATAGGCCTTTAAGTTCATCTTTCTCTCCCTCCCTCCCCCCCCTCTCTCCTTTCTCCACATAGGCACCATCTATCAATTATTTATCTGTCTAATATCTATCATCTCTACCATCTATATATCATGCTATATAAAAATATACACATGGGTTATTATGAATAATTATTAATATCAACATGATACACAACACAATTTCTACTTGTCACAATTAGCTAAAATCCAATTCAGAATGGAAAGCCCCCCAACTAGAACATTTTGGATTTTATTGCTGGGCTAGGGAAAAAATGAATTTGGGGGCAAATATCAACAGCTAAGATAGCACATTATTTCTTTCTTGAATCCAATTTCCCAGGACTCTTCTCTTTGTTACAGAAACAATAGAAGAGAAGGAGACAGATGGCACAACTTGATTCACTTTTACCCAGTGTTTTTATGGAGAGAACATAAAGCTGGAAATGTGGGGGCTGTGAGCATAGCAGTGATCTGGGGAATTGGGAGGGCAGTCAATGGAAAGGGGCTGTTCCTCAAGAAAGCCAAATCTGATCCTGGGGATGGAAGGGAGGCCAGTTCTCTGCTCCCCTAGGCTGACTCCTCCCAATCCCCACCCACAGCATACAGAGGAAAGAACATTGGACTAGGAGAATGACTGGATTGGAGTCCTGACTGCATCATTTATTGGTTTTTTGACTTTGAGGGAGTCATAGGATCATAGGATTTAGAACTCAAGAGCCTCTCAGAGAGCTCCTTGTCCAGCCCCTTTATTTTGAGGAAACTGAGGCTCAGAGAGGGGAAGGGACTTAATCAACATTACTTTTCTACTTTATGCCTGTTTCCTCCTCTATAAAATGAGATATTACAAGTGTGATTATTTCTTCTCACAGGGTGGTTCTGAGGATCAAATGAGATAATCTATATAAAATGCTTTGCAATTAACTATAAAGGCTTTTATAAATGTGAAATGAGGTATCTTCCCCCCAGAGACAGAAGATTAGCCTCCTTCTCTAAAGGGTCATCTCTTCTCAACCAAGAAGAGATGTAAGTCTTGGCCTCAATTCTTGGTGTCCACTAATTAAGCAATTTTATTTCTTCAGGTCAGATCAAAGGACTGGATTATTCTTGAAGTGCTCCTAGGCTGGGGACAAATATGTGAGGTCATAATAGACACAGAACATAAGAGAATTGAGATAATGGGGATATCAAAGAAAGCAGAGGGTTATCAGTAGGAACCTCTTGCCTCAAGAGACAGCTTGGTAGAGCAGACAGGGAGCTGGCTTTGAAGTCAGGGAGACCTGAATTTGAGCCCCACTTCTGTTCACACACTGACTTCAGGACCCTGGACAAGTCACTTAACTCCTCTGTGCAGCTAGGTAATTCTCTAAGACTACGTATGTTGCAGAGCAGGCGCTGTCCTTCTTTGGTAGAATAAGTTCCTTACCTGGAGCTCCCAAGTAAGGGATAAAATGACAAAATGATTACAGGTCTGGTAAAAACAAAAAAACCCCAAAAAATCTCCTGCCTGGAAAATTAAGCCATTTAAAGGGAGATGGCTGTGGACCTACATTGGAATTAACTCACATCATTAGCTCCAGTAACACTGTCAATAAGAAAACTTTTTGTTTGGTCTCTTGGTAGTTAACTCTTCTTAGTTCGAGGATCTCTTAGTAGGCTAGATCAGGAAAGGCCTGACAGAGAGAGAGAGAGACCACCCTCAGCTATGGAAAGGAAAGGGATAAGTTTTGTAACTGTGTTTTCTATTTGGGGGAGTGTATTGTATCACAGCCAGGAAGGAAGAGTGGTTGATCTGTGGCACAAGAAGGACTCAGCTGTTGTAATTGCCTGGAGGATGCTTGGAGGTAGCAGATAAAAACAAAGAAAACCTGGACCTCTGGGCTTAGAAGCTGTCAGTCAGCATTTATTAAGCAGCTTACTATGTGTCTGGCACTGGCCTAAGGCTTGAGGGAAAGCAAAAAAAGGCCTTGCCCTTGAAGAGCTTACATTCTAAAGGAAGTCAACATGTAAATGATAAGGTACCTATAACATACATGGAGAGTGACTGGAAAGTAATTGGAAAGGGGAAGGCAGTAGCTGCTAGGATGGGGGTATGTGTGTGTAGTGGGTAGAGGGGCTTGGAACAGAACAGGAAAGGCAGAAGGTGGAACTTGAACTGAGTCAGATGACAGTTAGGACTCTACAGTGGAAGAGTCATGTATATTGGAAGGAAGGAGTATAAGAGAAATAGATAGGATCATTTTAAGGTGGCTTTGAGGATCTGGTATACTTAAGTGGCTTTCCCCGTCTATTTACTGGTGTTGTCTATTTCCCTGCACCAAACAGTGCTGTGAACTACCTGAGGTCTTGAACACAGAAAACCCAAAAGCAATGGATGGGGACTCCAAATTAAGCAGCAGTTTTATCTTTGACAATGCTTGACAGTTTCCACAGACAAATGAAGCCTCCCAAGAGGTCTTCATTCTTCCAAAATACATTGGCAAGTTTTCCCCTATTTTCACAGGTACCCTGTGCCAGAAGTCATTGGACCTCTGGCAGGCAGAGGTCACAAGAGTCTGATGATAGGGCTTAGGGTAGAACTCCTCTGCCCAACAGACACTGACACTTGACTCATCTCCTCTACCCTTTTCCAGTGTCTCTGCTCTTCTTCATTGTTCGCTAGACATGAGAAGGTCTCAGAAGACACTTCTGGGATTGCATTAAGGAGTAGAGCTGAGACTGGGTACCCACACAAGAATATCCCTCTGGCGATCTGTTCCAGGACATATTGTCAAACTCATTCCAGCAATTCCACAGACAAGTGAAGCTTCCAAAGAGGTCTTCACTCTCCAAGAGAATACACAGATGGGACTTGCCTTCTGTAATTAATCCTCACAGCAGGAAAACACAGAGAACCACACAAAACAAACACACAAAAGGAAATAAAGAAAGGAATCCAATACCATCAAGGGGGAAGAAGTTGCTCTGATATTTTAACCCTTTGCAGCCCTCCAACACTGAAAGACACCCTGATGGTGCTGTGAAATCTCTGGTTCTCTAGAATGGTATTAGCTCACTTCAAGACTGTTTGTGAGCCATTGGAAAGAGAGGCATACTTGGAGTTAGAGGACTTGCCCTGTACAACCTGTGTGCCTTCACTTCACTTTCTGAGCTTCAGTTTTCTCACCTGTAAAATGAGAGGGTTGATAAATCTTGTGTGGTCCTGATCATGTTTCCTCAATATTTGAATTATTTCTTTTTTGCAGATGGTAATATTTTTTTCTTTCAGCTGAAAGTTCTGTGTTTTGGCAATGACATTCCTTGGAGTTTTCATTTTGAGGTTTCTTTCAAGAGGTGATCATTATAAATGTATATAATGTAAAAACAGAATCTACCAATAAAAACATAAATGACAAAAATGAGGATGTTAGGTAGATGCCCTCTAAGGTCCCTTCCCCAGATTGCCTATGATTGCCCAAGTTACTAATAGATTCATCAACAAAGATGGGTTAGAGGGAAAAGGATGAATAATAGCTCCAGGAAAATAGTTAATAGCCCTAAAGAGATAAACTACAGGATTAGTAAATTTCATTGGTAGGGCAAAGGTCTTGTCCTGGGTACAGCTGTGAAATGAACTGCAAAGTCAACAGGAGTCAACAGAGCTTCACTGAGTCATGGTGCCAAAAAGAGAGAAGGGACAGTTATGCCTCCAACCTCATCTGGAGTATTTTGTTCAGTCCTGGTTGTCATATTTTTTAAATTAAAATATTTTATTGTTTTTTGTTTGTTTTTATATTCCCTTCATTTCTGAATGTATCTCTTTTCCCATTTGTTCCCAGAGAGCCCTCACTCATAACCAAAACCTAAACAAAAAAGAAAAAGAATAAAAGAGAAGGAAAAAATAAAGTGTTTCAGCAAAACTACTGGTTGTCATATTTATGGAAGGACAACGACAGGCTGGAGTGTGTCCAGGAGGAGGACCAGGATGTGACCAGGATGATGAAAAGACTGGAGACAATGCTGTATGCTGAGCAATTGAAGGAATGGAAGGCATTTAAAATAGAGAGAAGAAGGACTGAGGCTGGGGGTAAGGCTAAGACTGGGGATAATGGTGGGACATGATAATTGTCTTTTGAGTTTTCAAAAGGGTGTCCTAGTGGAGAGGGATTATTAAATTTGCTCAGCCTTGTCTCAGAGGTAACAAAGAGTTTTGGATAGAAATTCCAGAGAGGAAGGTTTAGGCTCAGCTTCCTAAAGACAGGAGCTTTCTCAAAACAGAAGGGACTGCCTTGAAAGGTAGTGAGTTCTCCATCATTGAAGATTTTCAAACAGAGGAAAGTATGTTGTGAGAGGATTCTTATTCAGCATGGCCAAACTACATGACCTCTGAAATCCTTTCCAGATTTCAGATTCTACAGTCCTCTGAAGTGTATATGCTTATGGTTGTCAAAGGAATATAATTAGCAACTACTGACTTCAATGATAGTCTACTCACTATTCCAATCCAATCCAATAAACACTTATTAAACATCTACCGTGTGTAAAGCATAGTATGCTGGAAGGCAGCTTGGCCTAGTGGATAGAAAGTTGACCTTGGAGTGAGGAAGACCTTTTGTCACACCTTTCCTTTTCATACCTGTCTCAGACATGTATCGGCTGTGTGACTGAGCAAGACACTTAAACACGTAGGTCCTCCATTAGTTCTTTAAGACTAAATTTCAGAGCAGGTGCTGATCCTCATTGGTAGAAGAGTGTTTCTATCAGAGGTTCCCTCTACCAATGAAATCACAGGTCCAGCTCCTCCCTACCCCACCCTACACAAAACACCATGCCTGGTGACGGAGTTACAAAGACAAAATGAAAGATTCCCTGCCTTCTGGGAGATTATATTCTCCTGGGAATTCTCCTCCCTTTAGTAGCTCTGCTACTACACATACTCCACCCAGCTAGCCACTCAAGCCATCTTGTCATCTGCATGTGTGATATTCCTCTCTCCCTTCTGCTCTGGGCACACTAATCAACCATTGTCTCTTGATAGGGCATGTCCATTTCATTTTTCACCAGTGTGTTACAGATGTGAAATGTTGACTACATTTTCAGATGGAGTCGCTACATCATTAGCTGTATTTAACTATTTTACATTGTTACTAGAGAAATAATGAACTGTGAGTAATCTGTAAATGTATGTAATGTAAAAACAAATACATCAATTCAACCTAAAGAAGGGACATTCCAACCAATTGCTTTATGGACAAACTCATCATTCCTGTAACTTCCTAGGCCAAAACTCCCTTTCCTGGTTAACACTCTCCTATGGTGTTGTCTCCCCCATTACCATGTAAACTCCTTGGAGGCAGGGTCCATTTTCTTTTGTATTTGTGTATTTATACACGCAGGGGGCCATCTCCAGTCATCCTAATGTGTATCTGGCCACTGGACTCAGATGGCTCTGAGGAGAAAGTAAGGCTGGTGACTTTGCACAACCCTGCTTACTTAAAACCAGTTCACTTGCATGTCATGGCATCACCTCCCTGATGTCATGGTCCTCTTTGAGAATGAAGGACAAACAACAACAATGTATACACACACACACACACACACACACACACACACACACACACATATACATGTATATACACATACATACATATGCATATATACATACAGTCATCTGTCTGTCTCTGTGACTCTCCATCTGTCTCTATCACTCTGTCTCTCTATTATCTCTCTCACTTTCTCTCAGCTATCTCTATCTATCTATCTATCTATCTATCTATCTATCTATCTATCTATCTATCTATCTATCTATCTATCCATCTATCTATCTATCTATCTATCTATCTATCTATCTATCTATCCATCTATCTATCTATCTATCTATTTCCCCAGCACTTAGAACAATGCCTGGCATGAAAGAGTATCATAAATATGTTTTATTTCATTCATTCATTCATTCATTTACAGAGTTGGATGGTGATGAACCACTACATTGAAACTCCAAGCTCACTGGCTCTTTTCTGGAGCCAGAAATAGCACACAAAAGCTTGGATGGTTTAGAGATTAAGGCTGACTACGGTAGGGACAAATGCATCGGGACAAATGTTCAGGAGGGATGCTGAGCATACTTCACTCTGAAATATTACTTGAAGCCCTGGCTTTAGCCAGTTAAGACTACCACCTATTCTCATTCTGCATGGGTTGGCCTGGATCCCTTCCCTGCCTCCTTCTACTTGGTAAGGAGCTGTCAGGGAGCAGGGAGCTCAAGGTGTAAGAAACATTTCCATGAGCCAATATTGACAACAAAGTTCCCCACTCTGTGATGAGATGACATTCTCATGTTTGTTCAGACTTCTGTTGAATACCCCATCTGAAGAAAAAGGGAAATATTGACCTGGGAAGGAGACAGGGAGGGGAAGAAAGCTGGCAACCTGACATGGTCATCAAGCACCTGAATTTTCCACAAGCTTAAGAACAAAATGAATACACTTGACAAGAGAAACTGTTTTCTGCTCTGTGAGAGCTCATCCTGTCAGTGCTTGAAATCACCTGGAGGGTACAGCCCCTGGAGAGGCCTAAGGCTCCAAGAAGGTGGACACTTGCCATGGAGTCATCTCTTTTGTGTGTGACTATACCTCATCTCCATTCCTTTGTTTAGTTAACTTGGTGCAGAATCTTGGGCCCCATTTCCTCCCTAAAGTTCCTGGTTCCTGAGAAATAGTTCCTCAGCTCATAGCATATTTAGATCCCACAGAAGGGATCTCCAAGGCCGTTTAGCCCAGTTGGATCATTGACTTCCCCAGTATTTTTTGCAGTTCTAAACCCATGATTCCATGACCTCCCCAAGGCCATGTAGTCTGTGGGTGTCAGAGCCAGGATCTGAGCCTCTTGATTCCAGGTTCAGCCCTCTTTTCCCTCTACCATGCTCTTTCTAGTTAAGTATTTTCTAGCCACCAGTCCCCGGGCTAGCCCTGGGATACCCACTTTTTACTTCCCAAAGTCCTTAGATTTTAAACCCCATGCACTTCCAAGATATTCTCTTCTCTCTATATCTTTCTCCTCCCATCTCCTCCAGTTACTGCTCCCCATCTTCCCAACCAACCATCCTGAGATGAAGGATAGAGATATCCTGCTATAGTATAGCTTGGGTTGGAAAATGCAAATAGAGAGGAAAGAGGCCTGGTTTTAGAGATAGGAAATCTGTGTTTGAATTCTGGGTCTGTTTCCCTGCTTACTAGTAGGATAACCTTGGGAAAGTCATAGAAGGCCTACCTGAGCCTCCCCTTTCCTCATCTGTAAAATGGACATGATGACACTCAATATTGACCTTACAGCTGCTGTTATCCCAATCGATCAGAATAATGGGTGTAAAGCATTTTGTAATCACCAAGTGTGAGCCAAATAGAAACAACAAAAGCATGAAGTCATTAATCAAGCTGTGTTGTGTCCTGCCAGTGGGCTAGACTTTCTAATTACCATGGGAAATCTTTGAAATCAGACATCAGTATCCCAGGTTCCTTTAAGATATGTGAATAGGTGTGACTGCCATACCAGGGATTTCACAGAATTTAGTCACCAATGACTTCTTTGGACAGTGATAGACCTTCAATTCTCCCTTTGTTTATTGGGAGATTTTGACCCAGGTCTTTGCTGGTTCTTGCTCCTCTATTGATTTCTTCTGTTCAGCTTCCTAGTTTCCTGTAGACCACACTGGGCTCCAAAGTCTTGCAAATGGCTCCATTGATGTCCTTCAGATCTGGTATCTCACCTAGTCCAATGCCCTCCATTGCCTCTCATTTTATGGACGAGGAAATCTAGGCAAACCAATCAAGTGAAGTTACTTTCTCAATATCACACAGGAAATAAAGCTAGAATTTGAACGACAGTCCTGACTCCAAGTTCATTGTTTGTTTTTTTTCCACTGCAAAACTCAGTTTCCTGTCCCTCTCCTCCAACGTCCGTTGCTAGGTGGAACAGTTGATAGAACACCAGGCCTGGAGTTAGGAAGGACTGAGTTCAAATCTGGCCTCACTTACTACTTGTGTGACCCTGGGTAAGTCATTTTACCCTAGTTGCCTCAGTTTCCTCATCTGTAAAATGAGCTGGAGAAGGAATGACAAATCACTCCAGTATTTGCCAAGAAAATCCCAAATGGGGTCCTGCAGAGTTAGACTTGGCTGAAAACAACTGAACAACAGCAGTAACAATAATTCTTTTCTTAGGGATTCAGCTTAATTTACCAAAGTCAATCTTTCTCAATCCAGATATAGGTTCTCTCTTTCCATCTTTGTGGCAACTGCTGCTGCTCAGTTTAATCCCTCAGCTGGTCTCTGGCATCAGGAGATCCTGAGTGTGGATAACTTATTGCCTTGCTCCCACCCTGTCATCTTCCTCAACTTTTGTCATATTGCTAAACTTGGAGGGAGTTGTGACCCTCAGCCCCTTAAAGGCTGAGTGAGCTCCAGCTCAGTCTGGCCAGTCTCCAGTGACTTAGCAGCTGCATTGAATACTTTACTGGGCACTGGCTCACTCTGGGACAGTGACAAAGCAGAGAACACGTTGACCTGTGGCTGGCATTGAATGGCAGCATACATTAAGGCTTCTCCTTGTCTGCCATTTGTTAATCATATTTTGAAGGTCATGTCTCCCTCCGTGAGGCATTTGGCTGGGTTGAATAATCCAGCACCTTGAAATAAATTAAAATATTGATCAATCCTTAATATTCTCTCAAAATCTCTTACTCTCTTATAAACCAATAGACTGCTTGCAGGGACTTAGTCAACAACCTACAAAGTATCCTGGTAATTACTCTCAAGTTCATATCTCTATAGAAGCAGGTCACCTTTTCATCCTTTTTAGGCCCCCTTGGTGGAATAACATATCAGGAAAAATCTCATTAATTATTTAAATAGGTAAAATTCTTAGGTGGAGAGACAGCAGGCTATAGTGGAAGAGAACACTGAATAGAGAGGCAGAAGAACTGAGTTCAAATACAACCTCTGCTATTTATTACCTGTGTCGCTTTGGGTGAGTGACTTCAGGTCTCTGGGCCCTAAGGGTTCTTCATATATAAACTGACAGGGTTGAACT